CCCAGCATCCCCTGGGGGCTACGGTCTCCCAGCGTCCCCTGTTAGCTACGGCCTCCCAGCATCCCCTGCAGCTACGGTCTCCCAGCGTCCCCTGTTAGCTACGGCCTCCCAGCATCCCCTGCAGCTACGGTCTCCCAGCGTCCCCTGCAGCTACGGTCTCCCAGCGTCCCCTGTAGCTACAGTCTCCCAGCGTCCCCTGTTAGCTACGGTCTCCCAGCATCCCCTGCAGCTACGGTCTCCCAGCGTCCCCTGCAGCTACGGTCTCCCAGCGTCCCCTGTAGCTACGGTCTCCCAGCATCCCCTGTTAGCTACGGTCTCCCAGCATCCCCTGTTAGCTACGGTCTCCCAGCATCCCCTGTTAGCTATGGTCTCCCAGCGTCCCCTGTTAGCTATGGTCTCCCAGCGTCCAGTTACATTTTAAGTTAAAGTTAAAAGCATACAGGAAGGGAGCTCACCCTTCTAACCAGCCGAGGACACGCCCTCTACCCCGGCACAGACCCCCAACCCTGCCTATCTTGGGCCACTGAGCCAGCTCCCACTCCCCAAGGATTCAGCTCAGAAACGCACCCAACCGGGGCCGGTGCTGTGGTGCAGCGGGTTAAAGCCCACACCTGCAGTGCCGGCATCCCATACGGGCGCTGGTTCTAGTCCTGGCTGCTCCTCTTCCGATCCAGCTCTCTGCTATGGCCTGGGAAAGCAGTGGATGATGGCCCAGGTCCTTGGGCCCCTGCACCCACGTGGGAGACCCAGAAGAAGCTCCTGGCTCCTGGCTTCAGATCAGCACAGCTCCAGCCATTGCAGCCATCTGGGGAGTGAACCAGCGGATGAAGACCGCTCTCTCTGTCTCTGCCTCTCTCTAATGCTGTCTTCCAAATAAATGAAATAAATCTTTAAAAAAAAAAATGTGCCCTCCCCCTTCACGGCAGACAGGCTGTGAAAGTCCCCAGAGCTCCATGGCCTGCTCCCACCTCCGCCCCAGTGACAGCGCCCCCGTCCCATCAGCTCCCGTCCCGAGGACTCCCCAGACGATTCTGAAGGCTTCCACAGACGCCTCAGGCTAAGGCCATCCAGAGTGCACGGCCCCGCCCCACCCCACCCGCGGTCTGTGGGCCACTGCTTCCTTCTGTTCCGTTCTTCCCAACACCGACTGGATCCAAGAATTTACTTCCCTGTGGACACCAGAGTCAAGGCAGACCCGCCCCACGAGACTGCCCCCACTCTGGTTACTCAGGCCACTTACAAATCTGGGGGGGGCCAGGGCCGGTGTTGTGGCACAGCAGGTTAAGCCAGTGCCAGCGATGCCAGCACCCTTGTGGGCACCAGTTTGAGTCCGGCTGCTCCACTTCCCATCCAGCTCCCTGCTGTGGCCTGGGAGAGCAGTGGAGGATGGCCCTGCACCCATGTGGGAGACCAGGAGAAGCACCTGGGGCGGCCTGGCCCAGTGCTGGCCCTTGCGCCCATCTGGAGAATGAACCAGTGGACGGAAGACCTCTCTCTCCTTCTCTAACTCTGCCTTCTCTTAAAATACCTGGGGATTCCCACGACTGCCTTGGTTTTGAT